TCCTTTGGACTATTTCCTTTGTCTTGGATTTTCTATACTCTTCTTTGTTCCAGATAGGGAGAGACCGGTATTTGTACTTCAGACAGCTGCTTATAAGCTTGTAAGACCCTAGTTGTTACTCACCAAACTAGGATGTAGAACATTGTCTCTGTGGACTTTATTATGCAGTCGACCTTAGTGTCCCCAAGACTGTGGCCTTTCTTCTTTGTTGTTGTGTATAATTTTTAATTTTTTTTGTGTGGTTAACATGAAGATAACATCTTATATTTATAACAAACTAGAACATGAAGATAACATCTTCTTATATTTATAACAAACTAGTTTATGTTGATACCAATTTAAATTCAGTAACATAAACACTCTCTCTATATATTCCACTCCTCCCAACTGATGTTTTTATCACTGATTACTTATTTATTCCTCAGATACCCTGTAATTTAAATTTAAACTTATTTTCTTATTTCTTACGTACTATTTTTGTATTCTCTTTTTTATGTTTTTGTAGTTATAAAGCCTGAAGGACGTACTAGTTGTATTTTGGTCTTGCATTTTGTTGTTGTTGTTTAACATGATAGCTTTAAGGGTGGCTGTACCTTTATTTAATGTGATGTTATGAACATATTCACATGCTGCTGCACCATTTTCATCACTGCTCACCTCTCAAACTGTGGCGGCTTCCTGGTTGCTGTGATGCTGCACGGTATGCCACCAGTATTTTTAATTCCAGCAGGGCCACCCATGTGGATAGGTTTTAGCAGAGCTTCCAGACTAAGACAGACCAGGAAGAAGGATGTGGTTAGGTCCACTTCTGGGGGGATAAAATTTGGCCACTGAAAACCTTATGGATAGCAGGGAAATATTGTTTAATGTCATGCTAAAGATGAGCCCCAGAGGTTGGAAGGCACTCAAAACACAACTGGGAAGAGCTGCCTCCTCAAAGTAGAGTCTACCTTAATGACATGGATGCAGTAAAGCTTTCTGGACCTTCATTTGCTGATAAGACATGACCCAAAATGAAAACAAACAGCTGCAAACATCCATTAATAATCGGAATATGGAATGTGCAGAGTATGAATCTAGGAAAATTGGAAGTTGTCAGAAATGAAATGGAACACATAAAGATTGTTATCCTAGGCATTAGTGAGCTTAAATCGACATTGGCTGTATTGAATCAGACAGTCATTTGGTCAGTTATGCCAGCAACAACAAATTAAAGAGGAATGGTGCCAAGATCTATCCTTAAGTACAGTGCTGCCAATGATAGGATAATATCCATATGCTTACAAGGAAGACCAGTTAATATGACTATTATTCAAATTTATGCACCAACCATTAAAGCCAAAGATGAAGAAATAGAAGATTTTTTCTAACTTACGCAGTCTGAAATTGACCAAACATGCAACCAAAATGTACTGATAATTGTGATTGGAACGTGAAAACTGGAAACAAGGAAGAAGCATCAGTAGTTGGAAAATATGGCCTTGGTGATAGAAATGATGACAGAGATCGCATAATAGAATTTTGCATAACTAACAACTTATTTATTGCAAATACCTTTTTTAAACAACATAAACGGTGACTATACATGTGGACTTTGCCAGGTCGAATATACAGGAATCAAATCAACTACATCTGTGGAAAGAAGTGGTGGAGAAGCTCAAAATCATCAGTCAGAATAAGGCCAGCGGCCGACTGTGGATCAGACCATCAGTTGCTCATGTGCAAATGTAAGTTGAAACTGAAGAAAATTAAAACAAGTTCATGAGACCAAAATATGACCTTGACTATATCTCACCTGAATTTAGAGACTATCTGAAAAAAAAGATTTGATGCATTGAACACCAGTGACCAAAGACTAGGTGAGTTGTGCAATGACATCAAGAACATCATACATGAAGAAAGGAAAACGTCATTAAAAAGACAGGAAAGGAGGAAAAAATGGATGTCAGAAGAGACTCTGGAACTTACTCTTGACAGGGGAGTAGCTAGAGTGAATGAAAGATATGATGAAGTAAAAAATCTGAATAGAAGGTTTCAAAGGGCTGCTCGAGAAGACAGAGTAAAGTATTCGAATGAAATGTACCTAGCGAACCAACTGAAAGATCCGTATTTGTGTCCATTCCAAAGGAAGGTGACCCAACCGAAAGCAGAAATTATCCAACCATATTATTAATACCACACACAATTAAAATTTTCCTGAAGATAATTAAAAGATGGTTGTGACAGTACGTTGACAGGGAACTGCCAGAAATTCAAGCCAGATTCAGAAGAGGATGTGGAACGATGGATATCATTACTGATGTCAGATAGATCTTGGCTGAAAGCAAAGAATACCAGAAAAATGTTTACTTGTGTTGTATTGACTATGCAAACTATGTATTGAATGTGTGGATCATACAAATTATGGATAACACTGCGAAGAATAGGAATTCCAAAACACTTAATTGTGCTCATGAGGAACCTTTATATAGACTAAGAGTCAGTCATTCTAATAGAACAAGAGGATACTGCATGGTTTAAAATCAGGAAAGGGTGCATCAGGGTTGTATCTTTTCACCATATTTATTCAGTCTGTATGTGGAGCAAATATCAGAGAAGCTGGATTATATGAAGAAAAACAGCATTAGGATGGGAGGAAGACTCATTAACAACCTGCAATATGCAGATGACACAACCTTGCTTGCTGAAAATCAAGAAGACTTGAAGCACTTACTGATGAAGATCAAAAACTACAGCCAGCAGTATGATTGCACCTCAACATAAAACCAGTGAAAAAAAAACAAACCCTAAAATCCATTACTGTTGAGTCAATTCCAACTCATAGCAACCTCCACTGGGTTTCCAAGGCTGTCAGTCTTTATGGAAATAGATGGCCTCATCTCATCCTGTAGAGCAGCTGGTGGGTTTGAGCTGCTGACCTTCTGTTTAGCAGCCAAATGCCTTACCCACTATGCCACCAGAGCTCCTTACACTTCAAAATAAAGAAAAGAAAACTTCTCACAACTGGACCAATAAGCAACATCTTGATAAATAGAGAAAACATTGAAGTTGTCAAGAATTTCATTTTACTTGGATCTACTGTCAACATCCATGGAAGCAGCAGTCTAGAAATCAAAGGAGGTATTGCTCTTGGTAAAGCTGCTGCAAAAGACCTCTTTCTAGTGTTTAAGAGCAAAGGTGTCACTTTGAAGACTGAGGTACACCTGACCCAAGCCATGGTATTTTCAACTGCTTCATATGCATGTGGGAGCTGGACAGTGAATAAGGAAGACCTCAGAGCAGTTGATGCTTTTGAATTGTGTTATTGAAGAATACTGAAGGTACCATGGAAGAAGGAACGAATCTGCCTTGAGGAAGAACAGCCAGAATGTTCTTTAGAGGCAGGAATGGCCAGACTTCGTCTCTCAGACTTTGGTCATGTTGTCAGAAGGGTCCAGTCCCTGAAGAAGAATATCATGCTGGGTAGACGGCCAGGGAAGAAAGGGAAGACCCTCATCGCGACGGACTGACCCAGCAGTTGCAGTCATGGGCCCAGGCATAGTGAGGACTGTGAGGATGGCACAGGACCGGGCGCCGTTTTGTTCTGTTGGACATGTCGGGTCACTGTGAGTCAGAGCCGGTGCAATGGCACCTGAAAACAACGAGTCACAGCTGACTTGTTGGCACCTGGTAACACCACCATTCTAATCTGTGGGTCTCTTTAGAGCCATGTGTTTCTTCTGGTTGGTGGATGCTAGTTTCCGCATCGTTTCTTCATATTTAATGAGTTTATCTCATTGTGTGTGTGTGATAAGCGTAGCTTGCATCGTTGAGCAGAAAACGCTTCTGTTTCTTTGGAGAGATTTCATTAGTATAAAATTCCAGGAATGAACGAAAGGATATAATTGGTTTAGATTGTTGGCCAGATATAAGACAGTTCTGCCATTTACAGTGAACCCTGTGCCCGGGGACTTCCAGCATTTGATGTCAGTGTTCTTACTTTTAGCTTTTACTTACTGTTGGGTGAAAGCGGCCCCACCGTCCTCCCTCGGTCTTTGGTTGCCGCAGACCAGCACAGCCACTGGGCTCGGCACTTAATTTCGAAGGTGACTTCGGGTGAATAGGGAGTCGGCGATTTGGCTAACAGATTACGAACAACTCAAAGGCTGAGTGTATCTGAGAGCGTTTATTGCCTTTAGCTACATGTTTTTATAGTATAACCAGTTCTTCTTTTGATCTTAATTTCACAAGCACAGGTTTACGCAGAAGCACAGAAAGTAAAGTACCTGATCAAAAACAATAAGTTTACAAGTTCCCATTACATCACAATTCTAAGTACTACAACAATGATCATAGTTATTGTTTTGGCTTTTTATCGTATACCCTGAGACTTCTCATTACGTCAGGATCCTTTTCTAGTCACTAAGCAAACTCTTTTTCTGTCCTTTGGAAATATTTACTTTTGAAATTGCATTGTATCTTTTTACTAATGCTGTGAGCTGCTTTTTTAAACTTGCCTTTTGTTCATTAGTTAATAAACACCAAGGGTTTCTCATATTTTTGTACAGTCACTGGAGATGTTGTGGTGGTCCTTGGTTTTTTCCAGCATGAGTTCACTTTGTTCCAAATCATTGAAAAAATCCCCTTCGGACAAATATGTCTGCGCCATCTTTAATATTGCTTGCAGTACTGGAGGTAAATGTTCTTCTGGAAAATTTCCAGAGGGTTCTTTTGTGTCCAAATTACTCTTAGGTAAGTTCTTACGTTCTCCCTGCTCCATGAATTTTTCATTATAACTAGAAACAATCATTCCCATTAAAATTACCAAGATCATTAAAGGACAAAAACAAAAAATAGAGAGAGCACACTTGACCCCAGAAAGCCTGCTGTTTCCTTGAAACAATCGCTTCAGGCCGGTGACTATGTCACGCGGACCCCACTGGGGCTGTCGTGGCATTTGGTGTTACTTTGCTGTGGTGGACCCCCCACACACACCTCCACGGCCCCCTCTGCCACTCCAGGTGGAGGAGCACATCAGCCGCATCCGAGAGGAGCTGGACCGGGAGCGTGAGGAGCGCAACTACTTCCAGCTGGAGCGGGACAAGATTCACACGTTTTGGGAGATCACGCGGCGGCAGCTGGAGGAGAAGAAAGCTGAGTTGCGCAACAAGGATCGCGAGATGGAGGAGGCGGAGGAGCGGCACCAAGTGGAGATCAAGGTGGGTGCCCCGCCGCAGAGGAGCTGGGCCTGCAGTGTGTGAGGGGGTCTTCCTCCTTGCAGCCTCTCTTGGTGTCCTTTATGCTGGGAGCCTGGAGATGTTAGAATGAGGCTGAGGGGGAGAAGCGTCACGAAGCATCGTCCCTCTGTTGGCAGGAGAGGCCCCTGTAGGTCCTGAGCTTTTGCAACCCAGCTCTGTGCCTCGCCTGCCAGCCTCAGTGTCCTCCAATGTGCTACATTTGTGCTATAGGCCAGAGTGTACAGGTGTGTACCTGTGTGCAGGTGTGTTCAGGTGTGTATGGGTGTGTGCAGGTATACAAGTATATGAAGGTGTGTGCAAGTGAGTGCAGAGGTGCGCAGAGGTTACAGGCTAGTAGGATTATGCAGGTGTGTACATGTGTGCAGCCGTATTAAGGTATGTTCAGGTTTACGTGTTTATGAAGGTGAGTGCTGAGATGTGTGAGGGGGTGCAGGTGTGTGCACGTGTGCAGATGGTGCTCCCCTGCCCACAGGTGTACAAGCAGAAGGTAAAGCACCTGCTGTACGAGCACCAGAACAACCTGACGGAGATGAAGGCGGAGGGCACTGTGGTCATGAAGCTGGCGCAGAAGGAGCACCGCACGCAGGAGGGCGCGCTGCGCAAGGATATGCGCGCACTGAAGGTGGAGCTCAAGGAGCAGGAGCTGGCCAGCGAGGTGGTGGTGAAGAGCCTGCGGCTGGTAGGTGCGGCTCAGCTCGGAGCACATGTCCGAGTGTGAGAACTCCCACTTCTCTTAAGATGCTGCACAGCCGGACAACCCCATCTGGGGGCCAGAAGCAGAATTCTGTCTGACCTGAGCACTAATGTGACTTCCTGGTAGGAAGGCCTGCTCAGGCATCTTCCTCTCTTACATGCTCTGGGAACTAACATGGCCACGTCTAGGACGTGCAGTGGCTGGGCCTGAGCCTGTCCTGCCTGTGGGCACAGAATGGGCAGAGCTGACAGTAGCTGTGTGTGGGGGAGGAGAGGGGGAGACAGCAGGGAAAGTGCAAGACAGATCAGTGGTCATGTGCATACCTGGTCAGGAGGGGTGAGTGTTGTAGGAACAAGGGAGGTCAGGGTTGCCCTGTAGAGAAGGTGGGGTGGACCAGGCTGGGGGACTGGCCCAGAGGCTGGAACATGCTGGTGTTAGAGGTGGGAGGGGGCTAGGGAGAGGCCATGGGGAGGGCTGGGCCTCCCTGCAATGAGCTGGCTATCCTTGGGGGGGTTTGGGTAGAGGAGAAACACATCGGACACTGGTTTTCAAGGGTTCCTCTGGCTGCTGGGCTTGGAAGCAGCTCCGAGTCTGGAAGAACTCAGTAACGCTTCAGACTGTGCAGTTCAGCTTGGGCACCACAGCACGGGCCCCAGGGAGTGGTCCGTCTTCCTGATGGACCCGTGGGCCGCCTGGCCTGAGGCCTGGACCTGCTGCCACATGGTCAGAATGCGCATCTGGGTGCAACACTGCTCTAGAAAACCATTGAAGTCTTTTATAAGAGTTCTTTAAAAGCACCAAACAGCTCTGGTGGTATAGTGCCTAAGGCATTTGACTGTTAACCAGAGGTTGGCGGTTCAAACCCACCAGACATTCATTCAGCAGAAGAAAGACTGGACAATCTACTTCTGTAAAGATTTACCACCTTGGAAACCCAAAGGGGGTTGCTCTGAGTCAGAATTGACTCCGGTAGGGAGTTTGGTGTTTTGGTTTTATAAGCACCAGCTGAGGCATGCTGGCAGGAGCTCAGGATGCCTCAGCCAAAGCTAACACGGAGTTACCAAGGCCACATCCGCATGTCTGTGATGGCCCAGCATACCCCACCCCTGAAGTGGCACTGGGCTCACTGAGCTCAATTTTTTAACCAGAAAGGCCTGGGGTTGGCCCAGAGGGCTGTGCCTTCTGGGACTGGCTGTCTGTAACGTTGTGCCCCCTTCTTTGCAGAAACATGCCGAGGAGATCACTAAGATGCGCAGTGACTTTGAGAGACAAGTTCGAGGTTGGTTCTGCATGTACATCAGGCCCCTGTGTTAGGGTGCTGGAGACCCCATATCCACCTGAAAACAGACCCATTGACAGATGGGCCAGGTCAGGAAAGCCAGAGTTCTGGGTAGGTGGGCTTGGCTCACCTCAGACTCGGCAATGGGTGGCACCTCCTCAGGTTCACCAGCAGCACCCTTTCAGGTCTGTCCTCTGGCTCCTGGCCTGAGAGCCAGGACTCTGTCAGGCTTGCTGACAGCACCCAAGGATCTGGTCGGTGGCCACACAGGCCTCGTTAGTGGCAGCAGGGGGGGTCCTGGTACTGTTTCCAGGGTCCACAGGGCTTCCTCTGCTAATCTGCTATGAGCATACCGACTTTCAGAAATCGAGGTCAAGTACGATAAAAAGATGAAGATGTTGAGGGACGAGATGGACCTGCGGAGAAAGACGGAGATCCACGAGGTGGAGGAGAGGAAGAGTGGGCAGATCCACACACTGATGCAGCGACATGAGGAGGCCTTCACTGACATCAAGAACTACTACAATGACATCACCCTCAACAACCTGGCCCTTATCAACTCGCTCAAGGTGTGCCCAGCCAGCCCCCCATAGGAGCGTCTCGTGGTGTCCTCGACTAGCCTGAGTTTGAAAATGTCATAGGTGACAGTTACATCTGTGATTATTATCAATCAGGATACTGCTGACTGGGATGCCAAAGTCATAAAATAATACTCATTTTGATATGGAAGTGCCTAGGCAGGCCACCCTAGGGGCCACAGCCAGCAGCCATGCTATGTCCATGTCCAGAGGCACTGGTGGCCTGATGCCGGACATGCCATTGGTCACTCTGGAGCTGTCACAGTGGGCTGCTCAGCATAGAGAGTGGCTCTTGCAGAACACTGAGCAAAATATAGTCTGTCAGCTTACATGGGAGCTGTACTCCGGGAAAATTCTGAATAATTAAAACCATGCTGTAAGTGCTGGGCTGGATCAAACACAGTGGATCTAGGCCCTCGGAGCACAGGGGCTGGGCCCACTGATGGCACAACCCCCTGGCTTCTGCCCACAGGAGCAGATGGAGGACATGCGGAAGAAGGAGGACCACCTGGAGAAGGAGATGGCAGAGGTGACCATGCAGAACAAGCGCCTGGCAGACCCGCTGCAGCGGGCACGCGAAGACATGAGTGACATGCAGAGGAAGCTCACATACTACGAGCGCGACAAGCAGATCTTGATGGTGGGCATTCGCCCCGTGGGAGGTGGGCTGGGCACATGCTGGCGGGAGGCTGGGTTGCCAGGCTCAGCTACTTCACCTTTGAGCTGGTTGTTTCCAGTGATGATTTCGGGCCTCGTTCATGGTCTCCTGAATGGTAATTCCTGCCCCCTCTCCCAGTGCACAAAAGCTCGTCTGAAAGTCACTGAGAAGGAGTTAAAAGACCTGCAATGGGAGCATGAGGTGTTGGAGCAGCGGTTTGTGAAGGTGGGGGTCGCAGGTGGGCGTGAGGGGTCCATGAGGGGGGCCAGCCTTGGTGGAGCCTCTCCCTATGCCCCGGCCCCTGTGATGGCTCTGGGTGTGGACACTGGGATTGGGCTTTGTGGTAGAGCTCATGCAGCTTTTAGGAGATGGGGGTTACTTCTGCTTCCAGGGGCTCCCCTTGGCCCCTCCCAGTGAGCTGCTTCTGAGGGTCCTGCTGGGGGAGTCAGCCAAGTTCACAGATGGCAGTTAGGAGATTCTGATTCTGGAAGGAATCAGTCCACATGTTCATGATGGTAGCCTCTGGGAATGAAATGTCTGACTCTTTGCACCTCCACAAAAAAGTTTCCATTTTATATAATAAAAATAATAAAAAAATATAATAAATAGAAGAGTTACGAGACGGGGTCACTGTGGAGCTGTTAACAGTGGGTTGCCCAGCAGCCCACTGTGACAACTCACAGTTGTGCTTCCTCTTGGCGTCCTGAAGCTGCAGTTTGAGGGGCTTCTAGAACCTGGGATGGGAGGGAATGGCTTCTCCAAGGCCCCCACCTTGCAGGCAGTGTGGCCGCCTCCAGGCTCCTCCCTCTGCCACCCGCAGGTGCAGCAGGAGCGGGACCAGCTCTACCAGAAGTTCACGGCAGCCATCCAGGAGGTGCAGCAGAAGACAGGCTTCAGAAACCTGGTCCTGGAGCGGAAGCTGCAGGCTCTGAGTGCCGTTGTGGAGCAGAAAGAGGCACAGCTTAACGAGGTGTTGGCCTCCTCCAACCTGGACCCTGCAGCCCTGACCATTGTGTCCCGAAAGCTTGAGGTGGGTCCCTGCTATCCTGCAGCACTTCCCACACACCACACAGAAAGCTCAGCAGTTTTACCAGATTACAAGGCAGTGATAGTGTTACAGAACACTGTTCTAAAAAGAGCAAGAGTGAGTGTTAAAACGAGAGGCTTGTCTGGATTTGCAATGAAACCAAAAAGGTTAAAGTGGTCCAGGTGGCAGGATGTTACAGACCCAGGCAGGGTAAAGGGCAGACAGGAACCGAAGGCCGGGCGAGTCCAGAGGGTCCGGCCCATGCCTGTGTTACCCATGTCTCTGTAGGGTCTTTGGCCTTGTTTGTTCCTAGGTTTTTGGTTTTTTAAGGTTTCCTACATGCAAACATTTTTTGAGGAGGAATCATGTACACTTGATTTACAAATTAAATAAAGTATTACCAGGTGGTGAAGAGCCCACAGCCTCTGCCCTTGTGTCCCTCTCAGGGGGTTTTGTGTCACCTGGGAGACTGTGTAGGACACAGCGCTTTTGGTGTCCCCCATTTGGTTTCTTCCCAATCTGTATTCTTTCAGAAGGCCTGCTTGAGTGGCCTTGTACCAACCTCTGTTTTTTGTTTGAAAGACACTCCAAGAAGATGGCTATTGGGCACAGGCTTCTCATCACCCATGGCTTTTAACATACATAAGGTTTTAATTTTTATTCATGCAAAGTGACCCATCTCCTCTTGGTCATTTTTTCCTTCTCCAGAGAGCAGCTAAATATTGACCTCCAGTTTTCCTAGGTTTTTATTTTTTAAATTCCCTATGGCTTTTGGTTTCAGGCAGCTTTCCTTTCTTGTGTTGTTACACTGTTTCCAGGAGGGGTACTGGGCACCTTGTGGTGGGCTGAGCTGTGCTGGACCAAGAATTCCTGTGGGGTGGCCAGAAGGGGCTGCCACTGAGGCAGGACAGCACCTGGGCAGGGTGGGTGATGGGGACCCCTCAGGGTGGTGACAGACCTGTCCCTTAGGCCTGCAGACTCAGACTTAGTGAGTCAGCAGAGTGCTTATAAGTAGCAAAGACTATTTTTTTCTGCTTTATTTAGAAATTGGAGTAGGTCATAAACTCACATAGTTCAAACATGTAACCAAGTGTGCAAATGTCATCTGGTACAGTGTCTCCACCCCTCCCCACGAGTGTCCACCCTTGCTGTGTCTAAGCGTGGACACTGGTCAGCCTCCCATCTGCTCTCCCCTCAGGATGTCCTGGAATCGAAAAACAGCACCATCAAGGACCTTCAGTATGAGCTGGCCCGAGTCTGCAAGGTACGCCCCCCCCCGCCCTTCAGGGTCCCTGGGGTGAAGCCCTTGTGAGAGTGATGAGGGCAGCCTGTCCCGTCCTTCCCAGGGATGGAATCACCCCTCCCACACTCCTTCCCAGGGATGGAATCACTGTCCACAGAGCACCCCGCCCCCCGGGGTCTGAGACACCATCACCCCTCCTGCCCTACCTGTGCAGCCTGAGTCATCCTCTAAACTCCCCCATCTTTCTGGGTCTGTGTCTGCCTTTGTGGGGTCAGGGACTGGGATGGTGTGGGTGCAGAGGAGGGGCCTGGCCAGCACACTCGAGGGGAGACATGGCTCCCCAAAAACCTCTCTCCCAGGCATGTGCCCTTGGCTCTGAGGGAGCCTAGCAAGTATTCTTGGATGTCTTATCGCACCCAGAGCTCTGGGCTTTCCAGAAGCCGCCACTGCCCCTTCCTGATGCCCCTATACCCTGCCCTCCCTTAACACTGTGTATGGCCGCGTGGGCTCAGTTAGCAGAGACAGTGTGGATGGAGCCTTCCTGGGCAGTGGACTCCCTTGTGGGTGTGATGGAGCCCTGTGCCCCTTTCCCACCAAAATCATACCAGCACAGACCCCCGTCGGGGTTTCCAGGTAGAACCCCAATGCAGGTGCCTCCACTTGTCACCTGTTCCTTGCACCTGAGAGGTCCGGGCATGGCCCCTGGTGCCCCCAGAGCCCTCAGGTCTCTGCCCAGAAGAGTAACCACTCGGCTGCCCTCCACCTTGCCCGTCATACTCTCCACTAGTCTGCTTTTGGGGCTCAGGGTAGGGCGATTCACAGGAATCCCCAGAGAGTGGGACATCTTGCCACGTCCTGGCTTGTGGGGCCCCAGCCACTGGCCTTCATTGGCTCATGACCAGAGCTCCTGTGCTCGGCTTTTTTAAACCTCCATGAAGGCCTTGCTCATGCACAGGCCCCTACCCCACCACACCGGCAGGCCGGGTCTGTGTGAAGACCGGCCCCAGCACTGCCCTTCCTGCAGGCGCACAGTGACCTCCTGCGGACCTATGAGGCAAAGCTCCTGGCCTTTGGGATCCCCCTGGACAACGTGGGCTTCAGGCCCCTGGAGACAGCCATCATCGGACAGACGCTGGGCCAGGGTCCTGCTGGGCTGGTGGCCACCCCCACGTAGCCATCCAGGGCCCTGTGTGTTCAGCCCCCCCACCAAGGAGGGTGGGTTCTTGTTTTTTACATTTGTATTGTCGGCAAATGAAAGTTTTCCCTTGGTCTGTGCGTCCCCTTGCCTGGCCTTTGTGGAGAAGCAGCACAGGGCCCTCCCAGCCTTAGCCGCCACTGCCCCTTCCTGATGCCCCTATACCCTGCCCTCCCTTAACACATCACACCAATGGGAAGGGCAGCTGGAGGTGCACATGTGACTTTATTGACACCTGCTGAAACCTGGGGCTGGGGGGAAGGCAGGCAGCCTGGAGCCTTCCACAGGAAGTGCGGGACCCACTCTGCTCTAGCTCCCACGGTAGGTGGTGTAGGACCATGGACTCAGGAGCAGGGGCACGTGGAACCTCTGCGTCTCATTGGTGACAGTGAAGACCACCTGAGAGGAAGTAGAGACCCTGATGGAGTGAGGCCCAGCATGACCCCAAAGCCCAGGAGAACTGGGAGAAATGGGTCCCCTGGGCTCGATGACTCCAAAGACGATTTGTGAAAGGTTGTTGCTTTGAGGGAGGCTCCCAGATGACAACCTTGTTTGAAGAAGGCTGAGTCACACTGGCCGGGCCCCTCCAAAGCCTGACCCAGGGGCAGGCCCAGCACAGGTGTGTCTTCATAAAACCTAATGAGGCCCTGGGTCTATGAAGACCTTCTCGGAGCTCCGAGCGGGTGACTGTCCATCCCCACATTCAGGAGAGTGGGGGATGGCAGTCGTCTGCCTGTTGTGTGGATGTGCTGGCTGGCCAGGCCACGGTGGGTCAGGGTCAGCCTGCCCGCCTCCCTTACCTCCACGTAGGGGTAGAAGCTCTCCTGCCCCCTTTTCTTCCAGTAGCCCTCGGTGTCAAAGAAAAGCTTGTAGGTGCCCCCCTTCATCTGGCCTGGCTCCAGGAGTCCAGGGCAGCGGCCGTCTGCATCAGTATAGCTGTGGACAAAGGAGACTGGATGAGGAGCCCCTGCTTGGCTCTTCCTGGGGTCTGTGCCCCCCACCCCTGGCCCTCATGCTGACTCAGCTGCAGATGGCCACAGGCCTGGAATCCTAGGGGCCCTCCGCACCACCACTGTGCCTCCTGTGTTAAAATTCAGAGAAGCAAGGAAAGGACACGATCTGCTCCGTTAGCAATAATCACGTATGTAGCATCTCTTTTTCCACAGTTCTCTGTGTGAAAGAATGTTTACACACTTTAACATAAACTGTACCGTTCGTACTGTTTTATAACCTGTGTCTTTCATTGCAGATATGTGTGGCTTCCTAGATGGCTGTTTCCAAAGCCTGAGCATTTGTGCCTGAGTGACCCCTTGTCAGGGCTCTGAGGGCACACTCAGCTCCGTGCCCTGCCGAGTACCCTGGTTCTACACTCTGGGGGCACCACAGTCATGCATGGGGTGGGAATGGGCTTTGTGGGCTCACCCCCTTAACTAACCCTGCCCAACTGTGGGCTTGGGTCCCAGTGGGCATGGTTGTCAGGGACGTATAGAGACCTCTGTGCCCACCCCCCCAGTAGCTCCTACCTTTTTTTCAGCTCCATCCACTGCTGGCTGTGGCCCTCCAGCCTGGACAGACGGAGGCAGAGGCCCCGGGCTGGCAGCCCTGAGGCAGTGTCCAGCACGTGTGTGGTCAGTGGACTGCTCGGGGACTCCATGCGGAAACCCTGGGCCAGAGAGGGTGGCAGGTTGTCAGAATCCTGTCCCTGTGCCTCCACTGACCTGATGAGTCAATAGTCCCCAGGGCAGAGTCCTCTGCAAACTGTCAGCAGCCCCGTGGGTGGGCAGACAACAAGAATGACTGGTGGTGTCTAACCCCTACTAGGCCTGACCTGAAGGAGCTCTGGTGGCATAGCGTCTCAGGCATCTGACTGCTCACCAGAAGGCTGGCGGTTCAAACCCACCAGCCACTCTAAAGAAGGAGAGTTGGGCAATCTACTTCTGTAGTGATACCGCCTGGGAAACCCAAGGAGGGGTTGCTGTGAGTGCATTTGACCCGATGGCGCATGACGACAACAACAGGCCTGACCTGCCCACCCCCACAGAGCCCCCACTCCTCAACTGCACCAGCGTCCCCTTGCTGTCCCAGTCTGCTCGTTCCTTCACGGATCACCTGGCCTGGCCCTGGCCCTCCCCAGACGTCACGAGTGCAGTGGGTCGAGGGGACAGGCGCCCCCAGCACCTGGACCTGGCTTCTCACCTCTCCGGCGCCCAGCTGCTGTTGGACCCGCTGCAGCCGCAGGGCAGCCACCAAGCTCATGGCCGAGGCCTGGGCTCGTCCACCCGCCCGGCCACTGACCAATGGGTGGGGCCGGCAGGCCCCTCCCCGAGCCCGACCTCCACCCCACCTGGCCCCTCAGGGCGCCGGCGCCCAGGCCGAGTGGCGTACCCACCTCCGCCGGCCGCGGAGCCGCCTTCCCTCAGAAGTGAAGTCGCCAAACCGGCGGGGCTGCGTGGGCCCTCCCTCTGCCCGCCTCCGCCCACCTCCGCTCCACGACCCCGCCCACAGCCCTGCCCCGTGGGCCCGCCCCTTGTCTCCGGTCCCCCCGCCCCCAACCCGTGCCGCCCTGCCCACAGTCGTGCCTTGATCCCGTCCCGACCCCGCCCCTATCCTGCCTCCCGCACCGCCCAGACCGCCGGGCACAACCCTGCCCCTGCCCCGCCTCCCGCGCTCTCTCTGGGGCGCTCAGTGGAGCACTGGATGCTGCTTCCGGCGACGCAGCGCCGGGCCGGGGGCACGCGTGAGTCGGCTCCTTCCGGGAGCCCCAAAGCTAGTAGTTTTTTTCCCCTGGGCTCAGGGTTTTGATCGGAAACCCTGCAGGCCAGGGTTTGGAGTCTGACAGACCACGTGACCTGTCTCAGTTTCCTCATCTGTAAAATGGTTTGTCCGCGGGACAAGGCTTAACTTTCTTAACTGTTCTCTTGTTCTCCCTCCCTCGAGAACTACTGACAAGGGGGAAAAAAAAGTGGTCATCGGGTCAGCTCTGCTCCTGGCGACTCCGCGTGTCGAGAGAGCCGCGCCATCCTGTTGTCAGTGGCTCTTGTTAAGAGCTAGATCAGGCATTTCCTCCAGAGCAGCTATGGTTGGACTTGAACCGCCAGGGTTTTGTATAGCAGCTAGGCTCACTGTTCGCTCCACCCGTGGGCTCCTAGACGTGAGTCGTCACTACGTGTGTGTTGAATGGATGGCATTGTAAATAAAAAGACATCGATGGACAGACAGAAAGCAGACAAGAGACAGCACCAGCTGGGAGTAGCCTGGGTCCCTCGGTTCCCAGCCTGTTCCCTCAGGAGACTCAGCGGCACCGTGAACCTTCTGTCCTCTGACCCAGTTAACTTACCTGGAGGTTCCCACAGTAAGACACACAGCTTGTCCCTGCGCTGTGGAGCTGGGCATACTAGTTCCTCTTTACCAGCTGGAACCAGAGTAGCTTCTGGCCAAGGGCAGAGCCCTTTCCTCTCCCCCCACCCAGCAGCACTCAGCCCTTGGCCCAGGGTGGCACCCAGGCTCTGCTCTGGTGTCTGTTGGCCAGAGACACGGCTAACCCACTCTGCAAAGGGCGCACTGGCCAGTGGTATGAAAAGCCTCTGTTCTGATGGGCACCAGGTTGAGCACTCTGAATCACAAGGACCAACGTACAGCGATTTCGGGTGCTAGGGATGCACAGAACCCTGTGAACTTATCCGCTCACGGACTGTGATGACCACCCTGGCTTTGGAACTTAGGCCCAGACCTTGCCAGTCTGTTGCTTGAACCGTCAGGGTGTACATGGGTGTGCTCTGTGAACCAAGCACACAGGATGCTTGTGCTGAGGTTATTGGCGGAGGTTTGGCCAGTGGTCTGTGGCTGCAGGTATACCCTGGGCCCCCCAGTTACGAGGTTCATTGTCAGGGGCTGGGGAGGCTGCAGGCGCTCACACTCCCACCTCAGCTAACCACTCACCACCCACCACGCCCCAGGGAGGCAAATTCAGACATCTCCAAACAGGGGTGTCTGCCTGGGTTGCGATCTGACTGGTACATCCCAGTCCCACCTCCAGACCGGCTTGGGGGTGGTCCTGGGACCCCGGAGCTCTTACAGAGTCACAGGGGCTTAGAGAGGGTTTCTCTGTTTTCAGCGAGGGTGCTGTCTGATTCTGCGGGAGGCGGAACTGACTGGTTTTCCTGTTAAGTGGAGTCGTGTGTATCGCATTTCTGATTTACTCCAGTAACACGTTAGTGCTCGTGATGCCCAGTGCTCGCTGTCAGCCTAGGGCTCCAGGTCAGCCGGACAGCAGCTACTGGACTCGGGCTGATGGGTCGGCGTCTTCTGATTATTGGACAGTGTGTGTGCTGATTGGTCAGTGCCTGTTCTGATTGGTTAGTGCCTGTTCTGATTGGTCAGTGTCTGTTCTGATTGGTTGGTTGTCTGTTCTGATTGGCTGGTGGCTGTGCCTTCCCGGCAGGGACAAGTATATATTCTGACCACACCACCCTCTGGGTCCATCCGCCCCAGACCTCGCGGTTGAGCCCAGAGGCCAGCACACTATGATTCCCGTGTCCTGGCTGATGGTGAACATGTTGTCATGAGGCAAGGAGGGGTCTTGGCTGAGGATGGAATAGACGATGGCTGCATTGTAGGTGTTCAGGTCATCGTCGGCGTCGGTGGCTGTGACCTGCACCACGGAGGTTCCTGCAAGGACAGGGGGAGCTATGATCGTCACAGCAGCCAGTAGGGTGATGCAAGTTAGTGTGTCACTCTGCAATGGAATGTGTTCCCTGTTGGTCTGCTAACTACAAAGATGGGTTATAAAGCTGCTTTAGCGAGTGGTAGAACTTCTAGGTCAAGTAATAAATCACTACAGCAATCTCCACATTATTATTATTATTTTTAAAGCAACTTTAAAGCATCTTTAGACACAGCTGTCACTATGGAGGACCGTCTACCCCATTAAAAGACTTTACAGGCTGGGGACCCTATTGGGACTTGGGGGTGATTGATGGAGATTCATACCTCGTCTTTTACTGTCCCATCACCACCAACAACCCCCACCACCACCGGAAGCTCACAGTGAGGAGGGAGGGGGGGGTGGATAGTGCACCTGTTTACCAGAACCAAGTGTCTCTACCGAGGAGGCCTGAAACCACCTTGTGTGGGTCAGTCAGAGGCAGTTGGTGCTGGTGAGGTACAGGGGGGTAGAAAAGAGGGTGAACACATCAGAACAGCTAGTGGCCGGCCAGCAAGTGTTGGGGGCCCACATTCCTCAGTGATTATTGGGTAATTCAGTCATGGGAAAGAAAGCAACCATCAGAATGTCATTTTCCTATGAAATGCCTCATAATTTCCAGTGCTGTTTTATTTTCAGCCACAGAGAACTGGGACCTCAGTGTCTGCCCCCAAACTGTCATATAGGGGGTGCAGGGATCTTGGGAATTCGGGGACACCAACAGGAGCTTCTTGGAGAAACCATCCATCTACAGCTGCTGGGAGAACTGTCAGCAACCAGGTTTGCAAGCACAAGACCCTTCCTGACCTTCCCACCAGAGCAGGATGGCCCCCGAACTGAGAGCAGGAACCAGAGTCTTGCTTCTGGGAGTGTGAAGTGGGAATATGAAGGCATGGAAGCTGAAGCCCCAGGGTGCAATGGCCCTGAAGGTGAAGAAGGGAGTAGGAGGGCATGAGGAAGGCCAGTTATGGAGATGCACAGATCACAGGCACACAGAACACACATGGTCCGTGTGCAGGCCCGTGGTCCAGATCTCCTAGGACCCCAGAGAACCCATTTACTTTTGTCCTGTTTGCCCATCTGTGCGGGACCCTGTCTGCCTGATGGCTCTCCCACCAGCACTTACCTGAGCAAGCCTGGAAGGGTCTCTGTTATTTAACCCAGGGCTGTCTCCCAACCTCAAAGCTGAGATGGTCGCCTGGAGGGTGGCTCAAGCACTGCCTGTCCTTAGAGCCCAGGGTGTTGATTCTTAATAAGACTTTCTCTGGTGTTTATGCTTTACCCTCCCAGAATCTTTGTATTTCCCTGATTTTACCATCTGTGTAACTAGCCCCTGTCACTGGAGTAACCTGCATGGGCTCCTTCCATCACGGACCCTTCAAAGACCTCCTGGGTGAACATGGGCTTGTTGTCGTTCTTATCCACCACTCTGATCACAATCTCCACTGGATCCTCAATGACATTCCCATCTGAAGATGTGGCATGGAGGATGAGTTGTGAAAGCATGATGGGGGCGTGGGGGGTAGTGATCAGCCTTGCTGGGGCTCGGGGGACATTTGGCAACTCAGTCAGCCCTGGTGGGGACCCTTTATCATGCACTCTGCTGCCAGGGGGGCCAGGAGAGATTCCCTTCCTACCGTCTCTGGTCCCAGAGCCACCAGAGGTGCTAAGAAGGCCCTGCTTCTCCACTATGGGAAAATCCATTCCAGGGCCCCTGTGTGTCTTTCTCCCCATCCTCCCCCTTTCCCACATAAGGCACTTCAGCCACACTTGCTTGGCTCCCAGCCTTCCTTGCAGCTGGGAGAGACTGCATGACCCCATTCCCAAGGAAGGTCCAGGAGAGCTCATGTCCACAATTTCTGCTGCAGTGACTCCTCCTCCTCAGAGTCCCACTCCTTTCCCTGCTGCAGCCTATCTTTCCCCCATTTCCCCCCCACCCGATGTCCTTTTCC